AGATCCATTATTTTCTACTCCATCCCCCTAAGGCACACGCAAATTGGATCCAATAATGAGAGGCAGTAATGATTGTCTTTGCATATTTGCTCTTGATTTTCAATTATATAGTGCTGATATTATTTTTCTGGATGCTGTTCGTTTTGGTATTAAATTGAACTTTTACAGAAAAACTGTACTTTACTGAACATACAAAGGACCCCGGCAAGGTTTTATATTAGTCAACCTGAGAATAGGCGTATTGCATACAGGAATTTATATGTCCACTGCATATAGATATATCTGCATCATCTATCCTTGATCTTCTGAATGCACTGTAAACCCCAGGCCATGCAGGCCATGATAAGTGTATATTCCATGTCTTTGACACACACACACACACACACACACACACACACACACACACACACACACACACACACACACACACACACACACATATACACACACAGAGACAGAACAAATGAGAGCGGAGAGCTCGTCCTCTCCACACCATTAAGGATGCTGAATAGTGAAGTCCTTGTTCCATTCCAATTTCTGGAAGCTTTGAAGGAGTCGGTGGTTGGATGTGTGCTGCCTCACAGAGCGTGTCATCTGTTCCACTGAGTTCACAGTAGCTCAGGGATCAGCCTGTGTCCCTGACAGGAATGTGTGCCACTGAGTGTTGGCCTGTCCGCTGAACGGAGCTGCGAGCCTCAGATCAGTGGCATTGGCTGGCCTACGGGTTGTTCTTTATGGCTGTGTCGCTGAGTGGCTGGCTCTCCGCTGGGCACACGGCAGCCCTCCAGATGGATGCTGGGACAGCAGAGGCCACGGGGCTGAAAATCCTATCAAGCGGCAGTTCCAGGCCCTTGCACTGAGAAGATGAAGCGCACCGGCACGCCAGGGGACACAGGCCAAACCCTGCTGCACCTCCATCACAACCCCCAACCCCAATCTCTTCATGCCCCTTTTTCCTTCCTACGTTCATCCCTCTATTCCCATTTTTTTTCTCCATTTCTACGGGAAGGGACTGCAAGCCCAACCAGCCAGAATATAGAGCTTGGCCCTCAGGGTCTGTGGCCCTCGCTTGTTAAATAAAGGAGCTGACTGGTTGATTGATAGACCCTCAGCAGTCTCTGCATCTCACATGTTTCCTGGTTTGCTGCCTTATATACGAATCCTTTGTTGGCCAGCCTTGCGTTAGCGTTTGTTAAATGCACTGTTTGATGGATGGCACCAATTTTCCTCCAAAACCCAGATGAGCCACCTAAGCACCTTTCCCTCTCCCTCGGTCTGTCCCCAGGTAAACCCCCAGAGCATGAGAGGACAGGAGTGTTCTAAAATGGTATCAATCAAACAACCTTGTGCATGGCTGCAACAGCAACGCAATGTTTCAATTATGCATCTGCTGCTCAGCGCCTGACATTTTGTTCAACCTCTTAACCCCACAAATTCACATAGGAAGCTACCTTCCTGTTGTCCTTAGCAACTCCTTCATTTTGGTATTAAGGTGTGGCTGCATAGCTGTTGGTATTCTCTAGAGCCGTGAACTATATTTGCTATAAAGAGAGCTTTAATGTACTTGTGTGAAACAAGATTAGAATTGCAGTGAAGTAAAAAGTCTAATTCTACTAGATAATTACAAAAAAATGTCATTATCAAATCATTTGCCAATGATTTTTTATTGTTATTGTTGACTTAGTTCATATTTTGTCTACAAAATGCCACAAAATATTTTTTTTTAACTATAGTTCAAGTTGCTATAGGTTGGATAAACCATTAAATGATTTGTTTCACTTCTTCTTAGCAGTCTGGAAAAAAAATATTGTTCAGAAAAGAAATGTATAGGGAAAAATCAAAACAATAATCCTCATATTAAGTTTCAAGACCATGAGAATCTAAGGCATCAATAAATAGTACAAAAACATGTTCGATCCACCAAAGTTTTGAAAAACTTCTACAAAAATACAGGTGAAAAACACAAACACTACTGTCCAGTCACTAAAGTTCCTACCAGCTAACACCACCTATCTCTGTCGCTGTAGTGCCACAGGCGTGCTCTGAAACACACAAAGGCTGCAGAGGACTGTAAGTCTGATGCAGTGCAGTGAACCGACAGGTGAAAAACATAAACAGATGCGAGAGCGGTCTCCAGGGTGTTGGGTTCATTTGTTACCTAGCGAGGACAGACATATTCCTGTCAGACAAGCCGTGGCAGCACCAGATGCGGGGTCATTCTAGTTACAGAGTGAAAATCTTGGGTTGAGGACAAAGATTCTCACTTCAGGCCCGAGATGGCCATGGGGTTTTTATTTCCCCTGTGGTTCTTCTGCAATAAACGCTCAGCCCACAAGAAGCATGAGAGCTTCTTTTTTTTAATAAACCTGAAGCTTATTCATCATGGTTTGTCTCCTGTTTGTTTCGGTGAATAATTGTGATCCAACAACATTTATGGTGATGGATTCAGTTTTTTTTTTTATGTTAAATTAGGAATCATATTAATGCTTGTAGATAAGGTTTTTAAAAAGTTATTGTAGTTTTTAGTTTCACATAATACTCTAATTTGTCACAAATGTTTACTAAAGTCTAGCTGAATTTAGCTGTTAAAAATGATCAATTGTGTGTTGTGATCAAATCTTCAGCACTGTAAGCCACAGAAACATACTGACAATACTGCGCTCAAACAATCCCCACCTTCAAGTTTCTGCAAGTTTCTCAATAAAGTGACAAATTGTTATTCATTAAGCACCAAATCATAACAGAAGTTATCTGAAGACATTTTACAAAACGAACAGGCCAAGATTTTAATCTTTGTTATGCCAATTAGAGAGACACAAAATGAATACCACCATCAAGCACTTGGCAACAGTGGCAAGGAAAAAAACTTGAGCAGAAAAAAACTCCTTGGTGAACAGCCATGTGCCTTAATGGGCCTTGAAAGTGAGATAGAGGGAGTACAAGAGAGAGCGATGTAGAGACAAAAGGGATGCACAGCGACAGATGAACATACAAGAACAACAACAAAAAAGGCAGTGCAGACTTTAGTTACAATGCTAAAAAATATCAGGGATATGTTTATGCTTCCAATAACAATAATATTGTTTAGGAATAATAGTGACAGCTGGAGTCAAGCAGGTCCATGGCAGCAGGCAGTATATAAAGTTTGGAAGCTGCATTAAAGGCAAATGAATGTATACAGATAGAGAGAGGGAGAGACAGAAGGTCCCTTGGCAGTCTGGCCTATAGCAGCAATAACTAGCGGTTTGTCAAAGGCAAGCTTGAGCTAGCCTTAACTATAAGCTCGAGCAAAAGTTAAGTTTATTGTAAATGCAAAAGAATGCATCTATTATCACATTTTATTCCAATTAGCCAGTGCTGCTTATCTTGTTGTTGTTCGAGCACCACTTCTCTCTCTCTCTCTCTCTCTGTAATATATATGCCTGACTGTGGAGGACAGGCAGCAGACAGGCTCATAGAACGAGAATATGGGAAGGTACTTGAGACACACTGGCTCCTAACCAGAACAACTGGCGTCTCTACTCTGCAGATGGACACACAGGTGGGCTCACAGGTGGAGAAGGAGGGAGGGGGGGGAATGCTCTGCCAGTTTTGTGTCCTATTTCGTTTGTGTGTGCATGTTAGTGCGTGTGTGTACGTGCGTGTGTGTGTGTGTGTGTGTGTGTGTGTGTGTGTGTGTGTGTGTGTGTGTGTGTGTGTGTGCATGTTAGTGCGTGTGCATGTGTGTGTGCGTGTGTGTGTGTGCACTTAACATCTGGACCATGGTCAACTGTCATGTCAGACAGAGATTTTGGCAATGAAGCTACACTGCACCCTTGTGGACATATGCAGCACAACATCACCAAAACAACCCCAGATTTCATGTTTGTTAGGTTTTAAGTATTTGTTTCAGTTTAAATATGCAGCTTCACTCTTAACCTATTTAACTCTTTTTTAACTTTAATATTTAAAAGCCCTGTTTTCTAGTTAATGCCTGTTACCACTGCTTTAAATATGTATTCTATCTTTGATTTGAAGAAACCTGAACACAGTAAAACATGTTCATTCGGCTCCTTTGTTTTGGGGTAACGTGGTCCCTTTATTTATTCATGTTTTTCTATCCCACTCGCTCTAAAATGAAAATGTCCCTTTAAAGCTCTTTCATAAATGATTTATCCAGTCCATGATAAGACGGGCAGAGCCAAACAATATGATTGCAGAAAGCAAACTGGCAAATAACATTGATCCATGCAACACACAGACAGCTAATCAATGAATGTATGTCCTCCCCACACAGGCGGCAAGTCCAGATCAATTCTGAAGTGAGATGAGGCATTGGCAAATGAAGAGAAGCATTTCTGAAGCATATCCCACAGTTGTGAAATTAAATAAATTCCCCAAACATAAGAAAGATCGACTGTGGCTGTAAGAAGTTGCACAGCCAGGTTGCTTAAACCCACCAACAACAATCACGCTTAATGCTTTAATTCAGATTCTTATACTGTTGCTATTCTCTCATATTGATGTAATTGTATCTGTTTTATTCTTGCTGTCTGGTCCTACACTCTGATATCACATGCACTCTGGCCTCACATCATGAACCGAGCAGATGATTTATTGATCTGAACACAGCCTCCAAATAACCCGCACAATTGTTTCATCCCTTTGTCATTATTGCCCCGTGATGAGTCTGGCACCAAAAGTTTAAAAGTCCCTCAAGGGCATCTCTTCAATGTTGAATTGATAGGCACACTCGTTTTCTGGTTTTGCAGACTTATACGAGGTTACAGGTTGTTATAGGCTACATGGCTGCACAGTCAGCTTACTGACCTGAATTTAATGTCCAGTGGCTTTGCTTTTTTATGTATTTTATTTGTAAGTCTGTGTAAAAAGGAACATTTCAGAGTCATGTTAGTGTTTTTTTTAAACTATGTGAAAGGTGCAGTAAAAGGTGGTAATTGTGCTTTGAAAGATAGATTATTGTGGGTTCCATGCAAATGAAACACAAAGAAATGCTCACAAACGGACACACTTCATTTATTTTTATACATTCATACAAAATAACACACTTTACTGTGTTCAATTCAAGGCACAAATAGCACACACACTTGCAGGGTCAAAAGAGCAAAAAGCAAAGTAACATTCAGTCTGAGATATGATCTCTTAGTCCAGTCGTAAATGAAAGCCAGTCTAACACAGAAATAGCCTCAGAGGCTTGCCGTGGCCCAGATGCTGAGTGAGAACTGCTATAAATAGGAAGTGTTGTTGTGATGAAACTATGTCAAGAGGCACAAGCGGAAAACCACGAGGTCAACATGGAAGCCACAAGTCAGAGATCTTACAGACGTGTTAGAATTAAAGGGTCTGTAAGAAAGTGATTGTATTCCTTAAAGCTGGACCAAGTCAACACTATTATTCCATTAATAATAGTTAAAACTATGAAGAAGTGTCTTTAAAGCCCCTGCAAGGAGTTTTTAACTGGTGGCTCTTTGATGTCTATTTGACTCACAAAATCCATCAATGTTAACTATTCTTATATTGTCATGTTCAATACATGCAACTGCTACCCAGGGTAGGTGTGAGATGATTAGATTTAAATAACATTTTTTTTTTTTTTTTTTTACTGTTTCAACAGCAATTTCCACAAAACTGATACATTTGACTGTTGAAAGAAAGCAGGGTACGATTTATTGTTAGAACAAAATACTTACGCAAGACAAGACGAATCAGAAAAGAGATATGACGATGGGGTACCAAAATCAACACAAACAAAATGTTCCTCGATTGCTGCCTTATTAAGACTTTCATGAGACAATCATCAGTTTCATCATCAGATAACAAGTTGCAGTTGCTAAATAATGGGATAAGATGTTAATTTACATTAAGTTGACCATGTAATTGTTTAAAAAAATAAATAGGTCACTAACACCTTAAAGGGTTAAATCAACATAAGATAATGAAAAAATATGGCAGGTATCACTGTTACAGAAAATTACAAAATTAAGTAGAACATTGGCTAATTAAATGCTGCTAAAAACATTGTATATAGAGGATTTCACACTGCATACCAATAGGTACAAATTACCCAAACTATTATCATTTTAATTATTGTGTTTCAGACTTTAAAACATACAGAAATCTCTTTCCAAATGTGGCAGTAAATGTATTAAAGATTATAGTATTATTGGCTGTTTACCTGCACTTAATGTCAGCAAAGCACAACAAGGACAATAACCAGATGCTTCAAAACACTACCCACTACAGACAGAAAAAAGGTTGTTACCTGAGGAAGAGCATAAAATATTTATTGCCCAATAAAAGGAATCCTCTTCTCAGCTTAGAGTAGTTACATGACACTCTGTTACACAAATGAGAGTGCATACCGTTTGTAATGATTAAACTTCAGGCATTCATCCTGATAAGGGAAGCATAAAAGCCGACTTCCTGAAAAGTATCTCCCAGCAGAAGAGAAGAGAAGTCATTAGTGTCAAAGGAGAGAAGGATTTCTCTGTCAAACTGAGAATTATTTATGAATACAGAGGTTTTTGCACGGCGTACTCTCTGCATAATGTCAATAATGACAACCCTTCAATTGACCTCCCAATGATAAAGTATGTTTGGCTTTCATTTTAAAGTGCAAAGTTATTCAAAAACACAACGACTTTATGGCTTTCAATGGCTATCATTGCTAACTTCATTCACAGTTTGCATATTCCCTTTTTGACAAATGTTTCTTATCTGTGCTTGTATGGGCTTTAAAGCTAATTATTTAACTTAACCCTCCTTGTACTAAAAGCTGAATGCATAATGATTAAAACACACCTTAGCCACTGAAATATATGCTGGGTTTTTATTCTAGAACCAGTATCTTATGGTAGCTAATTGTAAGGAAACTTGAAGCAGATAAAATTGCTGTGTAACTGTTGTGATGAGTCAGGTGGTTGACTTGATGACCCTGTTCTATCTATGCTACTGTGATATTATGTTTGACCACTAATCATGAGCCCATAATTGTAACGTTTGGCTGTTATGGCTATTAGTTAGCTAGAGTTACACACTCTTGTTTCAAAAGACTCTACTTAGCTGCCTTTCCAATCAAAACTAAAGGGAATAAAGGAGATTCAAAGAATACAGTTCATTAGTTTAAATACCAATAAAAGTAAAGGCTAGATTTTGAGCAATTTCTCCTAATGAAGTTTCACATTTTTCTCATGGTGTCAAATATTTAAATTATTTTGAAGATTCATATTTAAAAAAAGCTTTTCATAACCAGCCATTTGTTTTCATACAACACTCCCCTGTAATGCATTAAAGCTTCATTTGTGAAGCAGCCAGCTTGTCTTACAAGCACACGCTAATTAAACCTGTTTATCGATACATTACCTTCCAGCTACACCCAAACAAAGTAAGCTATTTCATCCAGATCCACAGGATAGTCTGTGAGGTGCAGAGGCTCTTTGATATCAAATCTCTCTCCCTTGTAGCTTCTCCAGCGGCCGGCAGGAAGGTAGATGTCACGCTCCTGCTTTCCCGGCTCCAAAACTGGGGCTACCATGAGGTCATCCCCAATCAGGAACTGGGAGTCGATTTTATAGGCTGTCTCATCACCAGTGGCAATCCACCACAGGGGACGTATGATTGGGTCCCCAGTGTCCAGCACCTCGCCGGCCAGCTCCAGGACCCGTGGTGCCACAATACTCTCATGGAGGGCTGTGTATTTTCGAGCAATTTCAACCACCTCATTGTCGTATTCCCAAGGGGGAATAGAAAACTGCATGGAGGGCATGAAGGCTGACAGCTCCAGCCAGCGGATATAGAGTTCTCGATCAGGTAACACGCGATTTCCATCTGTGCGGTTAAGATAAGCATTCCCTCCAATCATGTCAGGTAAAATGAACTGATAGCCAAGGATGCTGATGGTGAGCACTGTGGGGATAAGAGATTTGAGACCCAGCTCATAGCCCCACACAGAGTCTCTGTCGATTGGTCTGAAGAAGCAGGATATGTTCTGAGACTGGTAGCCACTGCGCAGCTCGGCTCGATCATTGTAGGGAATAGCCATTTCTGTGTAGCGTCTTGTGAAGAAACTTGGGTCCCGAATTGGTGTTCTGGTGCTAAATTTCCATGGTAAGTAATTGGTCTCACCTGCATCAAATTTAAAAGATGACACACCATACCTGGTGCGCAGAGTACGTAGCTGGTAGGAAAACCAATCACGGGCCTCTGGATTTGTGAAGTCCAAAATGCCACCAATGCCATTCCACCAGCGCACCAAGGCTGGCAGTCGGCCTGTTGGTTCCATGACAAACAGACCCCTCTCAACACATGTATGGAAGTTTTCTGAGTCGTAGTTGACAAACGGGTGAATCCAGAGTGACACCAAAAACCCATCTGATTTTAGCTTTTGGAACATGGCCGAGGCATTGGGGAACTTTGTTGTGTCAAACTCAAAATCTCCATAGCGGGAAGTGTAGCGATCGTCCAGTTCCAAGTGGCTACAGTTAAAGTTATTGTTGCGTATGCTGGTAGCATACGCCAAGAGTTTCTCTTGGTCAATGTCAGTCTTATGTAGTGCCCAAGTCGACCAGATAGGGTGGCGAAACATGACTTTTGCAGGCACCTTGTTTGGCTTGTTGAAGTATCTGCGGACCATGTATTTGTGTATGGATGTCACATCTAAGCCCACGCATACTCTGTAGCTAAGTTCAGCACATGGTTTCTCTCCTGGGTTTGGCTTGAAGGGACTGTCGTTGTATCTCGCCTGGAAGGACATAGTCTTCTCTGTGTCGTTCCAGCCAAGGTGGAATGGCACAGAATTATTAATTTTGATGGCTGTGGCATTGGATGACAACCAATAACTCTCCAAAATCCCACCAAATTCATTGCGTTTTGAGTAGATGTCACTTGTAACAAAGGGTTTGGGAGCCTCTTGGCCAGAGATAGAAATAGGCCAGTGCTGAATTGCTGACACTGCACCACCATACCAGTGTGCAAACTTGTATGTCATGGCATGCTCAACAGGAATGTCAGGAACCAGCTCCTCCCAACGCACACGGTAGCACTGTACTGTGTCCTTAGGTCGTACTGTCTCAATGAAGAAGTTCAGTTTCCTATCATCGGTGCGTCCACAACTTAACATTTCTCCTTCTTTGGAACATGAATCCAAATCCAAAGTACCTGACCTGCCAAGATTAAGATACAAGAAAATCACAAACCATTTCTTTTAACAGTAAAATAGCTGGCATGTCTTTCCATTACAATTATTGATGTCACTTAAATATGTAAGATTGTTAAAAAAAATACCAACCTGAAATCCATTCTGAAAACAATGGATCCTCCCTGGTTGCGGATAATGTAGCCATCTTTATTTAGATCCAGCAGCTGAGTCTTAAGTAGCTCAGCTTTGCGGAGAGAGGCTATGTAATAACACCATGCAGTTACAGCTGCAATCACAAGCACCAGGCCGATTACGCCTGCTCCGACTAAGGGTCGAGTGTCCTTTCTGTGTTTCTGCTTGGGGATAACATCTGTAATTGTGCCTCCTGCTCCTCCTGGTACAACTTGGTACATGACTTGTGCTGTTCAGTGGGAATATCTGAGAGGCGCTGTTCTGCAGATCAGAAGAATGTTTTCCAGGGAACCTGTTGCACTCTGGCCCCTCTGTCTGTTTGCATGCCTGTCATGAGAGAGAGAGAGATAAGAGACATTATCTTGGGCTTAAAGCAATATTTCCTCCCTTCAAAATAAAGCTTTTATTAAGAAAATGCTGTATGGTGCTGGAGCCTCTGTACAGCACAACCACTTGATATTGCAGATCAGTTATGATCAGTCATGAAATATTGACTTTATAATCAGTTAAGTATCAGGCACATCCTGTAAAACAGCTGCAGTCAGATCAGCAGGTGAGATATCGGCCTGTTTCTCGGCCTATCTTTTCTTGTCAGTTCAAAGCCTCCTTTACATTTCAGGTCTGTCTTACATGCTCTGCATTTCTGCACAAGTGATTTCCCAGCACTTAGAGGTATTATGCTGTCAGGATGTAAACCTTAAAGATGTGTCCGAGATTTAACAAAACAAATCTACTGCCAATTACGCACAATGGGATAAAGTGGATGTTCCCAGTGGTTATTCTAACATATGAGTTCAATTGAGAGAAGACTAATTTGTATGTAAGGAAGTAAGGGTGCAGGAAAGGGGGATTTTGGAACTTAGAGCTCTGCCAATGCTGGGGAGGAGAGGAAAGAATACTAAACTTTGAGGTCCATCAATACAACTTGGTTCATTCTAGCTTTAAAAGAAAAGAAAACATTTGTGACAACCTGGGTAATAAATCCAATAAAACAGACAAAGTTACTTTCTATTGTGGGTACAACGTATCTATCCCTAAGAGCAGGGACATAGCAAACACTTCTAGAGGTAATGAACTGGCTGATGTTAGTTATTTTCGTGTAAGCTAAACGGAAAAGATTAGATTAAAGAGCACAGCCAACCGAGAGAAGTCCAGTCCTGTCTAGATTCCCTGTTTGCTGACGATTGCAAACAGCTATTGACCCCTATCGCCTGCCATGGCAGCAAGGGTCGATTATAAAAAATGCTCACTATTAATTAGCAATCTAATTGACTAATTCTGTGTTCAACCAGCCTTAATATAGATTTCCCTCAACAACAGGAGTGATAACATAAACCTGTCGTTAATTAACAGAGAACTAACTGTTGGTTCCTTAGAGACCCACTTATGCTGCTAGCCCTATAGGAATGGAAATTGGCCCTGAAAATGACAAGAAGATTTACTGTACATAATGCCTATTGAAAATTATTAATGGAAAATGTGAGCCTGATAAAATCACTTGACCTTTAGCAATTTAGTATTCAAAACATCAATTTTCTATTAGAACTTTCTCAATTGTTAAGGGTATGAGTTTAATGAGTCGAAAACGTTCCCCTGAGACAAAGTTGGTGTAGTCAGATTGCAAGCTTTAGTCATCCTACAGCCCTAACTTTAAAGGTAGCCTATACAATTGATTAGAAAACCAACTAATCAAGACTTCAACTACCTAAGAATATAACACATGAAAATGAACGTCATGGACATTTCCAATTATATAACTGATATTATGTTCATTATTAAATCATCTGCTGATTGCTGTCCTTGTTTTTCAAAACATTTTCAACCAAAGCCCAAAATTATCCAGTTTGTCATAGGCTTATATGACCAGAAAAGAAAGTTAGTCACACTGGTTAATTGAGCTTGAAAATATGACTTATAGAATATTAAACAACTAGTTTATTAATTGTCTTTGACTGAATAATCAGTTATTCCATTAATCATTGCAGTGGTACGGCAAGACCTATTGATATTTTGAATTAGACTAAATAAATTCTCTTTTTTTCTAATTCGAGTTAGGCATGAGTAAAGATCCACCAATAGCCTCTATATATATATATATATATATATATATATATATATATAAAATATAATATGACAAATATATAATAGGTCTAATACATTGGCATGAGCCTACTGTATAATATACTAATACAGAGAAAAAGTAAAATGTCTGATGATGAATTTAGAAATAGACTTATTACAATACCTTCTCATAAGTAAATGAAGGTTTTAACATAGCCTACTTGATGTTTTTCTCTGAACAAAACTCTTGAACTATAACATGTTTTTCTCTTTGGGAAAAGTGTAAAACCTCAGCAACAGTTTATGCTGACACATTTCTTTGTTTATGGGTCGACATGGTGGGTTCATATTTGCCATTTCAGCCCGATTTACTATCTGTTCTGAAACGTGGGGGGAAAATAAACAGAAAAGTGCTGACACAGTTAGAAAAGTGGCATGAGAAAGATTTAGGACATAGGCTACAGCCTACACACTGTGATTGTGTGTAATTTGTGTGGCGGAATATTGTGATAGTCATTTACTCAGATAGTATACTTTGAAGGTATTTTCACAGTGATGGTATTTTCCATTTTCCTTTTTGAAACAACTGTTGAGTTGAATTTTATACTTCAGTAGACTTTACAAAAACATAAAAGCAATCGATAAATGCACACACGAAGTTTTTTTTTAAGCTTATAATCAAACAGCAAGAAACTCTTTGATGTAGACACAGCTCCAACATAGGCAACATTTTTCGCCCAGTGTATGGAAAGCTGTGCGCTGTGTGGTGGGTGGTTCGAGAAAGTTAACGGAGGGAAAATAACCGGGATTGCGTGTCAACTAAGTCGTCTGATATTTTCCTCTCGTAGCCCATCCTGTTTTATTTTTCTAACTTCATGAGATAAAGTTTTTGCCTACCGTACAGCGGCAGCCCCATTCAGCAGCTCCAAGCACTACTTGTTTGCTACAGTTTACAGAACAACACCGAGAGACATGAAGGCATCTTGCTACGTATTCGCCTCGTATACGCCCATCGTAGCATGGGAAATGTAGTCCAGTCAGTGGAACAGCTTTGTTTCCATCACAAAGATAGAAAACCTCAAATAATATCGCATACTGGTTGTTAAGTGAGAGGAAGATGAACCAAAACTATGTTTAACATCTTCAGTATGATGAAGTTATCAGCACTGGTGGTAGAGACATTTATTTAGTCCACCAAGAAAGTACTCACACGTGAATCAATACAACTACAATCATCACAGTATACATCTTTAATACTCCTGAATAAAATGTCATAATTGCATCATTTCTCTTTTGCCACTCCAAAGATGCAAAGAAGAGACTTATCTAGAAATGATCAAGCTAATAGTAGGCTATATATTTAATGTCATAGACATGTACAGATTAGGGCCACAGTGCCTTCTTGGATGTTATCTCCACAAGCCCTTTCTGGCACGATCTCTGCTTCTGATATAGTAGTGAATTGTAAAACTGTCCACACTGTATGTAGTGAGATAATAGTAAGGAGAGGGCAACCAATTATTCATTCTTACACTTTGTCTCACTGGGTTAATTAGCAGAGAATTAAACAATAGTGGAGTTAACAATCCCTCATTTTGATATGGAACCTCCTGGGCCCGCTGAAGGACCACTGTGAGTCCCCTGTCCCCACTTTGTAAGACGGTGCTCAGATAATGGTCCTAACGCAGGCACTCAGACACAAACTCTGGGTGTATGATGTAGTGTCCCGCCTGGTAGGGCCTCACCACATGGAAGCAGCTGTAGCATCCACTGTTGAGAGAGCGTCAGAGGAACAATTAGGTCTCTTTGTTTCTATAGCACTGCAAGAAATCTTTTCACCAAGACTATTTTGATTACACAAAGCTCATATGCACCTATAATCCAGGATGCTACTGGATCTAGACCTCTGGTACTGTGTCTGCAGAAAGAGGTGCTGAGGTGCCTGGGGGTTGCTGGTTTTGGGTCTGGTTCGAATCTGAGTACTTGCATGTAGCCTGTCAAAAAAAAGGCATTCATATTTTTTAAAAGATTGACTAAATTCCCATGGCAGACATGTTTGTCTTGTGTTTTTTTTAGCTTGAGGGGTGCACAATTCTATAATAAAGTAATCCTAAATTCCAGGTTCATCATAATGTAGTGAATATGGTAAATCATTATCATTTAACCACTGAAAAGAGACAAAATAGGGACGCTCAAAAGAAATTTGAAAAGACTTCAAACATATGCTAACATTCTGCTCACAATTTTTTTGATTTTTTTGAATTTAACATACCCTACCCAGGCAAACCCATTCACCTTGCAGCAGGCCTAATTCTAATTCTAGCAAGTTACTGAAGCCTTTTCTATAATAAAATAATAAGTTAAAAGTTAAAGAAAGAATAAAAGAATAAAAGTTAAAGAAAGATCTGTGGCTTGATGCTAACAGCTCTGTTATCAAACAGCAGTTTGTGGGTTTAGCAATGTGTTGATTTACCTACATTAATGTGATTTTCAAGCTACAGTAAAATAGTAAAACATCAACTGCAACTTCAGACCTGAGTGAGAGTCCAAAGGAAAAATGGCCACCAGGTGGTAATGTGAATATAATAATGTTTTCTTTATCTGCCAAAAGGAGACTTTGACTTCCACTAAATCAGTTTGCCAAGGGTTCATTTCTCTGATAATCAATCTTAATGCAAGTCAAATCAGAACACTGTGTATTTATAGAGATAAAACATCATCTGCTACCTTGCTGGGTTCTTCAAAGCTGTGTTGAACTTCAATCCAGAGTCAACAGGAGGCTCAGTCAGCTGTAGTGTCTGTACTCTGTCAGCAGAGGGCAGAACAGGCACTGAGGATGGGTGTCCAACAGGGGGCATGTGGTTTGGTTTGTGGTCTGTGTCCACTGTGTTAGGATAGTTGCTAGGACAAGTTGTACCTGGACTGTGGAATGATAAATGTCTGACAGGGGGGAAGAGAGGACGGCCGGTGTCTGCAGGGGGCGAGGGGTCTGGTGGTGTGCGCTGTGACCTGTAGTTGGGCTGAAGACTCTGGGGAAACAGGAAGTCCTGGAAAGACAAAGAAAAGATGTGCACACATATCATTAGAAATAATAGAACAAAAGAAAAAGAACATATTTTGAAAAAAGCATGCATACTCTCCTTTTTTTTTTTAACTTTCGCCAAAATTGTCTCTTCAGTGCATGCGTTCAGATAAAGCACACTTGTCTTAGTCTGTGGCTTTTCTCTTATGTATATTTCATTATATTTAAATACAATATTGTTAATATAATATACTTGAAACTAAAAATGTGAGAAAATTTCCCCCGTCTTACTCCATCACTGCTTTTATTCCCTCTACGGTAGAATTGATGTACTCTCTCCTTAGCTCTGTTTACTCCATGTCTTGATAAATAAACAGGCACAGGGGAAGTACTGAATAATAGATGGGATACAGCTTTCATGAAGCACAGGGAAATGTAAACAACCAGCTCACAATTAGATTAAGACACCTTAGTTGCTCATGATGAAGAACAATAAAGAGTGTGCTAATAATAAGTGACCCAATTAGTCCTGTTTGACCTCAAATGCACCACCAGCAGATGTTAAATTCTTCTTCTTTTGTTTGTTTTTCTGTTTCCTTGTCTGTTCTCTTTATTGATGACTTTATTTGATATTTTTCCGTTTGTGATTGTTGTTATAAATATAAATATTTTTTGTACTCTTGTAATACAGGGTGAGGAGGACTTTAAGACTGAAGGGGCAAAACATATACATAGAGTCTAATGATTTTCTGTCATTTTAATCTGACCTTCTCTTTAAATATTAAATTACATAAATTGCTAAATTGAAGGACTACCATCTTAAAATGTTAATACATTGCAAATGATCTCCTCAAGAGAAAAAATCTCAATGCACATAAATTGCTACTTTGTCCTGTTAAATCTTTTATGAAGTCCATGTGGCTGTGTCTCTTACCGGCCGGGGTTGGGGGTTGTTCCTGCGGTGGGCAGAAGTGGGTCGAAGCTGTTCTCGCTTGGTTCTGCCTGGAGATGCAAACTGCTCCTTATACATAGTGAGGTAAAGCTGAGGAGCCATCTTCACTCAATGTCTTGCTTATTTTCCACTGCTTTGCTTCTGCTCACCTGAAAGTCATGAACATCCTTCATCTCGCCTGTCACCTGTTGGCTCCTCCCTCTACCCCCAAGGTTGCCCTTGCACCTTTTTTGGAAATTGCCTTCTATGTGTGTTTCTTGTCCAACATGAAATGATTTGCTGGGTTGAGCATGTCACTTATTTTGCAAGCAAAAATAACTTTTCCTGTGTTTGTTTATTGCAAAAAACGGTTTCTCTTTTGCATGTATCAGACTCTAAAAACCATACCTGATACAGGTCAAAGGACAAAAAAAAAATACATGTTCAACTTGTAGCTATTGTGTTGAATCTATGACGTTAGAAGCATCGACAGGTTAGGAGCATCCGTGCTAAACCAGAACCACTCGTTGTGCTACCTGAGCACTCAGCCACTAATCCCACTAAGCCCCTGGCCCCCTGCAGAGACACACATACCTGGGGTCACTGTCCATGACCTACTTCCCTCCCCTGGGGCCTCTCACAAACCAGCAGGCACTGATCTGAAACAGACACTCAGCCCCTCAGCTCTTTAGAAGCTTCATAGTTAAAACAGAATCAGGCTTATCAGATCTGTAGAACTGCATCAGGGGAGTGATGAGATTTCAAAGAATCTCCCACCAGTACAAGCAGCAGCACCCAGGGTCACCTCTATTCACTGTCAGCATGCCACATGAGCATCAATAATTCACCAAGCGCTGCAGGGTGCCTTTGTGTCTCCACTGCTCTCACTGAGTTATCTGTGACAGGAACTGGCTGTTCATCTCGCCGCAGAGCCGGGGCCGTGTTTGACAGCCATGTTAAGCTCAGTCAAATCCATGTCAACAGATGCAGAGTGGAGGATGAGAGGAATCAAAATAATGATGTGGCAGGAGCAGGAATGTCCTTCATGAGGGCTCAAATCAGTTTAAATCTCTAGTATGTTCTTATCTTTGGTGCACTTTGATGCATGCAACTCTAGTCCTTTTTTATTCTTTTTTTTTTTTTTTTTTTTACTTTACGTCTTCTCCAGACAACACATTCAAGCATGTAGATTTATACACACCGTAAGATTTATTCATTGTCAACTGCACAGCTCCCTTCATTGCACCTTTTGTACATTTTGTGTTTTTATATTTTATATATTTTATATATTTGTAATTGCTTCTTATATTTAATTATTTAAGTTATTGCTTTATATGAAAAATTCCTCGTATGTATGAATGTACTTGGCAATAAAAAACGATTCTGATTCTGATTCTGATGTTCATTTAATAACTAGTTTACAGCACAGTGAATGTGTGTAGAATAAAAGGTACAAAAAGAAGAAAAAAATGTAGAAAGACTCTTATTGGGTTGCTTTGATGTTATGCCATTGAAGCTGGGGTCCAACATTCACACTCCAAATCCTGTGTCCCCCACTCCCAGCATTCAGGCTGATTTACTGCTGCTTGGACTTCACTGCTGCTTTGAGCTTTGTGTAGAAAAACCCAAAGTTCTGAAAAAGAGATCAGACAGATTCCATGAGAAAATAAACACAGCATGCCAAGTTATATATATATATATATATCTGTTTATGCTTAAAAGAATGAGAGATCATAGTGATCTACATTGAGGTTTGAATGGGAAAAGGATTGGTTAACAAACCTGAATGGCATAATAAATGATCCCCAAGTAGGCTGCAATACAGCCGCCAAGGAAGAGATCAAAGGCTGCAGGCTTTACTCTGAAAGGAAAGTGCATCAATATCCAAGTGTTTTGTTTAAGTTAAAAAATGCAGGAAAATAATGTGAACGCATAAATATTTACCTGTACATCACTATCGGTTGGTTCATTTGATCATAAAATGTAATATCAGGGTCCCTGTTTGAAAAGATAATCAGTGCTGTGATTTTTTTTTGTTCTCCTTGCCACAGCCTCAAAAGTGTACATTTTTCTTTAATACCACTGCATGGTACCTCTTATCTTGTCTGAAGGTGTGTTTATGAACTTGCTGTAGGTAATGTTTGAACTCCTGCTCAAGTGAGTTAACCAGCAAAACATGACCGGGCTCCTTATCCAGCAACTGGGTTGCCCGAGGGACCGATGTCAAGACAGACATCAGATTAGAAATGCGACTGTCGTAGAAGTCCTGCAACAGGATTTTAGATGTGGATTCACAGAGAAATAATTTAGGATACCCCTTTTTTTATAGGTGTACGATATAAAAAAAGAGACAACATTTCTGAATTTAGATTTCTTCATCAAGTAACAAGAGATATAAAACATATACTTTCTGCCCTTCAAACCTTTTGCATTCCTAATAAATTCAAATGGATTGTTTTGGTTTTTTTTCAAGTCCCCTAATTTTAAATAAAAATTATTCAAAAACTGAGATTATTGCTCAGACCCAGGCTTTTTAAAAAAAAAAAACACACACACAGTACCTATAACCCACCACCAGAGGTCAGCACTTGTCTATGTACAATGAACAAACTAACCCTGAACTTACCATCTGGCCCTTGAAAAGCTGAATATCTTTTGGTGACCCCTTGTGGAGAAAAATAATAAAAGTTAATCACACATTATACTGCAGATAAAATGAAGGACATGTTCATTCTGTGTCCATGAATGTGATCACCTTGTCGGAGAGGTTGTACATATAATGTGCCAGTGCTTCTGCTATGATGATGCCGTTACGCTTAAGTTTCCTCAAGTCCACTTGTGACCTGTGAAAAAGCAAAAAGACAACCGAGATGTGACTCTTTACATCATATTTTCATGTAGTCTCATAGTTACAGAACTTGGAGCATACATGGTGTCTAGTATGGAGCCTCTGAGTTCAGATTTGGGGTCTTCCAGGTGAGACAGAGTGAAGCTTGGTATCCTGCGCAGGCTGTACCGCTCGTGCTCCCAGGCCACTGCAGACTCCACAAGATTGATCTTCTTGTGGACCAATCCCACCTTCACCCAGGGGAATCTAGATGACACCACCTGAAGGAGGGATCACAGATTGAAGGCTATGAAAACAGAAATAGGTCTACGTCATACATTTGGACCCCAGCAGCAGAGTTTGTTACCTCCTCCAGCTGTTGAATGAAAGCATGCATGGGAGTGTCAGGCTTAGGAGGGCGGGACACATGCATGTACAGTTCATCATTGTTGGCCAGTGTGTCCAAACACAGAACAAACGCCACATTGTCATGGAGCAGGCTGGACTCTGGAGAGAAAAAAAAAAGTTTGGATGACTTTTTGGATGACACCTCAAACTGGGTGTGGCTATAATCAGATATGTAAGCAAATGGCTTGAATATTTCAACTCACCAGCGTGGTCCAGATTCTCTTCAATCCATCTCTTTGTGCCAAGAAAATTATATTTCCCCCCTCCAGTTAAAGAGAACATTAAATGATATCTGAAAGACAACAAGGAAATATAAAAATGGTCAAATACTGTCAAAAAAAACAAAAAACATTGTATCAATAACTGACCAAACACTAAGTGGATTATAAGATAGAGACTCCATTACATTTCAGAGCCAAAAACTGTTCTTTGGCTCCAAATGTGATATTTTTGATATTGTCTGTCAATTGTTACTTTGCAAATTCAGATCAATAAAAAAGATAACAAATAAATATGGTGTAATATTATAGGCTAAAAGAAGCAAATAAGATCTGCACACCAAGGAGCTCCCGTTTAAAGGATTTATCGACAAGTGACGTTTGGAGCCAACATGCTGTCACTCATCAGACTTCAGAGTGTATTTTGTGAGTTGCCACATTAAATATTCAAAGACAAACACGTGACCCGACACTACTGAAATTAATCATTTTCTAATAAGGTACTAAAGACATATAATACATTATATATAAGTAGCATACTATCATAAAGCTAATTACTTTTATAATAAGAACTTTTAAAAGTTGCAAATACAGGAATAAAACCCCGTAACAAAGTCTTTCTTCACTGTGGTGTTGATATTTACACTTGTTGCATGAGTTTGGAAACCAGTGTTTGTAACTCACGGCGGTCTGGTGCTTGGACTTCTGTAAAGCTTCTGAAACAGACGCACCAATTCCAGCAGGATGGTGACCCCACTGCCATTCGAGTCTGCTCCATAAGACAGCCACTGTGTTACACGCAGAAGACACACACACTGTTTATGAGCATAGTATAACACTGCAGAGGTTATCATTTAAGTAAAAGTGAGGGAAATCAAATAAACAGTAAAACAGGGTTGGCACTTGTCATAGAAATGTCTTAATTAAGGGTTTAATCATTCTGAAGTGACTCACTGGTGCCAGCCCGTAGGAGTCATAGTGGGCAGTGATGACAATGGTGGGTGGATCCTCGCCGGCTCCAGCTAGAACTCCCTGAAATAAACATCAGCAGTGCAGAACTCAGGAAGAATCCAAAGCTAAATCAAACCTATTGAAATTCAATCATTTAAAAGCATTGGAAGGTTTTTACTCTTCTTTTCCGGACAGAAAGTCTTGACCCTCACCTCCAGTGTGACTACAGCGTTGTCATTGAAGGCCTTTATCGGGGTGTTGTTGCTCACAAGGATCTGAAAGGCGGTGGCTGTGACCATACTGCGAAGGACTGACAAAGTGAAAAACATACAAACTTCAGTCCAAACATGCTGTTCTCTAAGGTTCATTCTCTCAAACACAGATTTTTTTTTTTTTTAAACTGTGCTCCTTTTACCTCTGATAAATACAGATGAGGTCCGGGTAGCTGCGGCCTGCTTGACCTCCTCATACATGCAAAGCAGCTGTTCATCCTCAGGTGCCACGTACACAGGCATGAGGGTCTCCTTCAGCAAGACTGCACTCTCGCTCACCATGAAGAACTGAGAGGGGGGGAAAAGGATTTTATAGACACAATTCTGTCTCTAAATCTCTACAGGTATTGTTATATGTTCTGTGGAGAGATGGGGGACACCAGGAATTAAGTAAGATATAATATTCAGAAAATGTGAATTATCTGATGGATAAGAAAAGACATTTTAATTGACTCGTTTCCTCACAGTTGGTCCCACAGCACAAAGGTGTTTCTGGAGAGCTTATTACCTGTATGCTGTCATGGGGGATACTGGAGATATTTTTGGGCAGCAGGAGCAGAATGGCAGCAGCATTTTGTCTCTGAGCCTCCATGAATTTCTCGGTGGTGAAGTCCATCACCTTCATGATGACGCAGCGACGGGTTAGCACCGGCTCGTCCGCTGAGCGTGCCTCTGCAACCACGATGGCTCCACGGCAACCTTAGCAAGAAAGGGGGAGGGGGGAGGGGGGGGGGGGCAAGTGTAAAATAGAGATTTGATCATACATGCTCTTCTGCTTAATAAAGGAAAGTCACTAAACACAAGTACTGTACTTGTATACATCTAGAGGGAAATCAGACTATTTATCTCCTTTGATTTTAACTGCCCGCTGACATATTTTTTCAGTTTTTTACAATTTACTCTCATGTCTTGAATTTTGTCACAGTAGTTCCAATACTAAAGTAAAAACTGTACATAACAAGTCCTACATACAATGTTCTATTTATTTAAAAACAAAGAAGGGTTTTAACACAAATTACAGTAAAAGACAACCTTCTGCTAAATAATAAAACATTATAAAGATGATAGAACTTAGATCATTAAGGAAAAACAAATACAGTAAATGCCAAAAATTTTAATTTGTTTGTGTGATTATTTTATTTTACTTTTTTTTTGGGTGGGAATTTGTTAACTTATCTCAATAAACAATGTTCTAAATAAAACCTATATAATAATAATATTCATAACTCTTTTTTAAAAAATGTCCCCTTGTCCAGTGGCTTGTTTAAAAGGATATGGGACTGCACAGCTAAGGTTAAAAAAAAGATAGGGAAATTGTAGGACTCGCCTTCTTGGCTGCTAAAAGATTATTTTTGGTAAACTGGAAGATTCGAAAACCAAATTGTTTCTCAAAATATGAAATATGGTTTCTTCCATTTCTTTATCTTTTATGTATGAAAGAATAGTTAATACTATTAGTGATATAGAACACAATTCTGGAATGAATTGGGATCAAATTTGGGAAAATCTTTCACCGTACGCTACTATTACATTTTGAAATTCACAATTCATTTGACAATGATTTGAAAATTGTTTCAATAAATACAGATGAAACAATATGTTTAGGACTTAAAGGTCACATTTGCAAAATACACTTTACCATGTGTATTGAGATGTTAGAGAGGGTACACACCAAAGCTCATTCAACACCGGAAATGTGGTTTTGAAATAATAACATTATTTATATTCTTGAGGGAATAGCTGAATTTAAATAGTGATCAAGAAAATGGGCAGCTACATTAAAGGCCACATATTATGTAAAATACACTTTACCATGGTTTTCAAACACTAATATGTGTTTTAATTAGTCTACAAACCCCCCTATTGATGAGAGAAGTTCTTCCTCTCTATCTTTCGCCTGCTCCACTTTTCAGAAAAAGTGTGCTCAAACAGTCCATTTGGAGACTTACCCTTTGTGACATCACAAAGACCAGTAACCCCTCCCCCAGGTGGATGACACTCCCACAGCTAGGTGTTTGTTCTGCCCTCTGAGTCTGCCTTCTCACCGTAAAAAAAAAAAAGGTCAAGAAAGCCAAAGCCACCTCATCTTCCAGAGAGGGGGCCTGGTTGAACACAGCTCATTTACATTTAAAGCTACAGACACACAAACAGGATGTTCTGAGCAGGGCTGAAGTAGAGGGGCTTATAGGCATGATGGATCAGAGTGGATGTTTTTAACAAGAAACTTCACAGACATGTTTAGGGGAGCGTATTTAAACCAGTTAAAAAGGAGAATAATATATTACCTTTAAAATGTAATGTAAATGTAAAATGACATTCTGTACTGTGCATCCCCCTATTGTGTTACATGTTATTTATAATGTCAACATGTACTGTCCTTTTGTTGTTGTTGTAGTCGGCATCTGTTTGAGGTTGCTATGTGTATGTATGTGTCTAACCAATTAAAATGAAAATAAATATATATAAATGAATCAAACCGTTATAGGAGGAGCTCTATTTTGAACTACTTGACATCTTAACCATGACAAGGAAGTGGATACTGCTTTTTTTGTAAGAGGTCACAAGCATTCAAAGATGGGAAAGTCCTAATCCAGAAAGTCAGCGGTTAATAATGGCTGTAAGGTAAGTGTAGTGGAGTAACACGTACAATTCACTCTCTTAAAGGTAACTGAATAAGAGTATAGAGTACTATATTATGAAGCTCACAAGTGAGTACCTAAAAATGAGCAAATGAATGTAATGACTTAGCATCAGAACAGGTGAACTTACCATGCATTTGTTGTGCCAGGCTGTACTGCTGCATCCTGTAAGCTCTGAACTCGTAGGAGGACACGGCAGGAAGAGCCGAGGCGTGAAGCCCGTGGACGCAGAGCAGCAGCAGAACAGCAACTACACACAGCTCTCTGTGCAACATGCTGTCACACCCTGACCCAGGATTTGTTACCGTTTCAATCTTCAAGGAAAGATGTTACAATTCGTAAAAAAACAAATGAAATTAATGGAGTTCAATTATATCTGCGAAAAACGCAAAACCAATAAGAGATATCCTTGAAAAATGAAGACAGTCCAACCATCTTGCCTTGTGCTACCATAGTCCAAGCTAACTAAAAATGTTTGATTCCTATAACAAAGAAGTTGTCCTACTAGCATATTTTAAGGCACAGAAATGTCCCTCACCTGTCTCCCAGGACTCCCTGTCTTCTTACCAAGTCTTCCTCAAATAGCAGCGTGGACACAAACTCGTTCCTGGGCTATGAGGCGTCTCCTGAAGGTAAGCCACCATTCACCATATGCTCCCAAGGGATCAACTCAAGGCTAATCACTAAAACCCAACCCCCCACCCTCACTATTCCTCTATCTATCTGTACATCCCTTCTTCCTCATCCTCTCTTTCTTGGCTGCAGTGTTACTCTCTTTACCTCCCGCAGAGAAAACAGATTGAAACAGTCCGACTGAGGTGGAAAAAGTTATTACAACTAACAAATCACTGCATTTCTATCACACAAAACATGTGTTGAAATAAGAAGATACAGAAAGAAAACATGGGGCACTCTCATTTCTGATATCTAGTCTTTATTTTTGATATGTTGCACTATACACAGAACTTTAACACTGTTAAAATCTAAATGGAACCAGATCACAATCATCATAAGAAGCACCTGACAGAACAAAAAAAAAAAAAAACATAAGTCTGTGTAAGAATTATTTCCCATTCTTGAAAAAATAAATTAAAAACAAATACCTGAAAATAAATAGCTTCTGTTACAATGCATTACTTTCAATTCGCTATGTGCAAAGACATCGGTAGCCAAAAGTAGTGCACTCAATAGAAGACGACTGCAGCGAGTCAACACCAGGAGGATGTTCAAACCAAATCAGCCCGTTGCACAGTCAGTCCTTACATGTTACACACAGCTACTGGTCCAACACACAGCTCAGCTAGTCGCTGCATTGGCATTACATGACCTGACCACTTTGTCTCGTCCCTACTGAGTGCAGGTCATTTTTTTTATCTACCCACATGGCACCTTATTTGCAAATATTGTTTTTGAAGCTTGCTTACTTTTGTAACTATAATGCTGTAGAAACATTGAGCCTGTATTAGGTATAGAAAGGTACATGTTATCAGACAGAATTAACATTTGTCAGGAGGATTTAGTTGTGTTTACTCTACATACAGTAATATTCGGAGTAAATACATAACTTTCCTTTTTTTACCTCCATTCAGTGAATGACATAAAAGGGGGTTTGTCCTTTGTCTATCTATCTAGAAATCTTTTTTTTTTTTTTTTAAATGAAAACCTCAAAGTTGTAAATGTGCAAAGTAAATCAGCAGACATACGTTATGAAACAATGATGCAAATTATTACAAAAACACTGCAGTACACCTACAAAGATGTAAGAGTCTTCATGCTTCACGCAGTACTTCACATCCTCATTTCAAATCCCTCGTAGGTGAGTCAAAAGAATAGTCTGAATGTAACCAGGAGAGAATAACTTACATCACAGTGTAAAGTGCACACATATTCAGAACTGTAGTCACATTTCCAGATAGTTTACTCACAAGGAAATTAATCAGGTTTAGTGTTTGAATGTGCAGACCGTATGGGGGGGGGGTCTAGCTTGATCTTCCAGGACGATTTGTTGCATTGCAGATTTACATGCAAGTGACTTTTAACATTTACTAGAAAAACACTGATGTGTGCAGAGCTCTGGAGATGTCTTTAGAGTGATGTAAACATGACAAATAACCAGTTTGCATTCCTAACAGCGAGGACTACTTCCCTCTGCACATCAGGGACAACATCCATTGGCATGACATATCGACAATACACAGCTGTGTCCGGTGCTACATATACAGTTCTTGTCCCAAAAGAAAAAAGAAAATATACAACAATACAAAACAAACTGACATCAAAACTTTAAAATGAGGGGGGTACATTATATTATTTCCTCTATTTCTATTTATTTCCTGAAAAACAACAAACATAATTTCCATAAAGATGATATGGAGTTATTAAAGACATTCCTCAAAATTACAAACCAAATGTAGGAGCAAAATTGCCAAGCTTTTAAAGGTCACATATTTTTCTAATTTCTAAAAAGTTTCAAATAAATCTGAGAGCTCCACAAAACATGTCTGTGTAGTTTCTCGCCAAAAATCCACTCTGATCCCGTATTTTAGAATTCCTTTAAACGCCTCTATTTTAGCCCTGCTCAGAACAGGCTGTTTCTGTGTCTGTAGCTTTAAATGCAAATTAGCCGTGTTTGACCACACCCCTCTGGAAGGGCTTGGGTGGCTTCGGCTTTCTCGCTCCATGCCGAATTGTTTACAGGGAGAAGGCAGACTCAGAGAGCAGGAACAAACACCTAGCTGTGGCAGTCTCACCCACCTAGGGGAGGAGATACTGCCCTTTGTGATGTCATGATGTCTCCAAACGGACTATTTGAGCACACATTTACTTAAAAGTGGAGAAGGCAAAAGATGGAGGATGAACTTTTCTCATAATTGGGGGGTTCGTAGACGATGATGCCAGTATATTTCACATAATATGTGACCTTTAATGTAGTTGCCCATGTTTTCTACAATGACTTCAGCTACTCCCTGAAGAATATAAATAATGTTATTATTTCCGGTGATGACTGCCATTCTGACCTTCTCAAACATCCACTCATGTCGGGGTTAACATGGACAGGAACAAAAGACGTTCACACTAACTCATGAGCTGTAATCAGTTCTAATAACTGTTTCTCTAGCTCTACTGGTTTTACAGTGGTGAACTAAAATGTAACTTAGACTGTTTTTTAAAGGACGCCTCATTATGTTTCATCGGCACAGAATGTGTACAGGTCTAAATCAAAAGCAGTAATTATCTGCACAGGCTATTCATTAGGACAGGCAACATGCAAAACTAGTTTTGTTTCAGTTCCTTTTTAACTGAATTTAAAACAATTAAGCAGAACAACCTTTGTGTAACAGACAAAAACAAAAAACAAAAACCTCTGGAATGATGTCTTAGTCTAAGCATTAGTGTTTTAACAGCAGCTTGATATTTGAGCACTAACTTTCCTGGACATATTTAGACACACACACACACACAGATTATTTTCAAATTTGACACATTTACACAGAAGGACGAAGCAGACTGGCTGAAAGAAAAGAGAAAGAAAAATGGCCACTACAAAACTTCCCATCCCTTCTTGTCCATCTCATGGGAGCATCAGTAGATTTCCATGGACCATGCGATGTCACAGTAATGTCATGTTGTTGTCATTTTTTTCTGTCGTCCCATTTTGTTTTTGTTCTCTCATAACGTCTCACAATCCTCAAAAAGGTCTGTGTAAACCAAATATCTACAAGCATTAGATGGAAGTCCAAAACAAGAGGAGCAAAAGTAACATGTTTCCCATCGAGGTAATGTTTCTGCCATCAGTCGAGTCCTTTTTGATCCAACCATGCAGAAGAACGATGCACACATCCAACCATAGGAGGAACGTGCACAGGTACTGTACATATTAACTCTTTATCTATTTACCATTTAATATTTTAGCTTCTATATCCTTGTTTTCCCTCTGTGCCATAGCCAGACGATAGTTTTTCCTCTGTGCTGCAACTCTGGTCAGTGGTTGGCCTCGGTGCAGTTGGCAGGAAGGAGATTTATTTTGAAGGGGTCGGAAATGGTGCTACTGGATTTGACAGGCTGTGGAGGGAGCAGCCTGGCAGCACATGCAGGTTGGGTTGACTGCTTTGGGGGGGATCAGATCCAAGTCCTCATCATCCGGGATCTCGTCCAGGCGGTACCCGTCCTTCAGGAGCTGGATGTTCAGGTCCTGGTTGATCTGCTGCAGGAGGAGAAGAGCAAAAAAACAGTATTAGTAGAGCTTCAGGATAACGTAAAGATTAACTTTGCAAGTTAAAGTGAAATTATATTTCTTCAATTATCAAGAAAGATGTTCAAAAAGTGGTAAAAAATGACTACAAATAAAATAGAAAATTATATATATTTACGAGTAACATGTAAATATATCAAATTAATATAATTTTATATAAATAGGAGGAAGAAACTAAGAGCACATTCAGGTGGGAATGGGTACAGAGAAAAGGCAAACACGGAGAAGATTCTACTCTGGGAGGAAGAAATGAAAAGGAGTTTGGATGAGAAACATGGACAGCTGATTACAGATGACTGTGAACATAAATGCTAATCGAAGTCCAAATCAATGTTTTTAATGGGTGCACACAAATACCTGGTGTGGGTGGTGTGACAATGGAAGTTGGTGATCAAGTGTTGATGTTTGTGGATTCACCAAATGAGGCTGTGAAACAGTATAACGTGTTTATAGATACCTGGTCCCTCAGACATCTCACCTCGGCTGAGGAGTATCCTGATGAGGAGTATCTGGACATGTCGAAGTCATCATCGCTGAAAGACAGGAGACATCGGCAGTTAGACACGGACTCTCAAAATAAGAGTATTAAAGTAACATGCTTGAAAAAATAAGTTATGAATGGTTAAAAGGGGAGGTTTAGGAAAAAGGTGCTCCATTTCAAAAACTGGTTCAAATCAAAGTAGCTAGGGAAGCCTAGCGGTTATGTAGCGCTAAAACAATCCTCATCTCAGCAGCATTGGGTTCAATTCTGACCATTGCTCTTTGCTGCATGTTATTCCCCACTCTCTACTCCCAATGTTTAAAAAAGGCCCAAAACATAACTTTAAAAAAACAAATTAAAGCAGCTGAGGTTGACGAATCCAAGTATACGAACAAAAAATGGCCAAAAAAGAGCCTACATTTCCCATATTGCAACCCTCCAAGGTGCTGCTCTACGCTTCCTTCATTTTATTGGTGATTGAGAGAGTTCACATTAACATTTCTCTAAGTCGGTGCATCAATTTGGAAAGTCGGAGAAAATGTTGGTACACAAGTTGGCCAGCTGACAAACTTGACGTCATTTTACAATTAAAAAAGACAGACCAGAGTTCATTTCATTTTGATGGCAATAAACTTATTATGCTTATAATTTATTTTTCAACTATTGCATTTCTTTAGATATAAGGTTGTAATAATGTTTTTCAGTCCGAATAGAATAAACAAGATTTATTCTGAGCAATTAATCATTATCTTTATAGCAACCGTGTTGTTTCCATATTATAATTTAAAGCTCATAGAAACACTACCGTCAGAAAAAAAAACTTAAAAACTTGGAAACTGAGACCCTCCGAGAAGCACGTGAAGGCTGAGTATTGACCCAGAACGTAATGCAGATTTTCTGATTGAAATAAGTTATCTCTCTCAGGGTTATTCATAGTTAATAAGTCTTAGACAGTCTGATGACATCATCAATGTTTTTTTTATTGGTTGTGAAAAACTTCTCTAATGCAATACAAACCTCTGTTTACATTGTGCTGATCATACCAACCGATGTCTCTCTTGTTTGTGCTGGCCAAGGTCTCTTAGGGCGCGCACTCACACAGGACAATCTGTAGTGTGCCTAAGCACGCTTCACCCCTAAAGTTTAGTTCGTTTGACTAGTGTGAGTGCTCCAATCTGTGCTCAAGCACGGTACACTTCCTTGGCCTGTCGTGCTTGTAAGAGGTGTGCCTCAGCACGATACTGTTCCTGCACAAGCACGGGTACACAACATGAACAGCCTTCATTAAAGAGAAATCCCAGAGTGTTACTGTACGACTTCACCTGACTAAAAATAATCCACAAAGTCAGTCAAGTAGATGTCATATTCTCTGTGTTGTTCTTCGATGTGCATACGCGAACTCGACCGTGAGTCCCTTATATATATATATATAATTTTTTTTTTTTCTCGAGTGTGTCTGTCTTACAAACTAAGCATGCTTCATAATAACATAAAACCATGCATGTATGTTGTATTACGACGTTATGAACAAGAGGTAACCATGCTAGTGTGCCCTACAACAGGCCAAACTGCTGTAGTCTCTCAGTTCCTAGTGGTCTTAGTTCGACCCTTACAAGTTATTTCATAGATTATTTGATCAAAAGATTAGCAATGAAATCCTATTGCAGCTAACTAACCATCTTTTCACCCAAATGAGTAATCTGTCTTTCATTCTCTGTGTGCAAACAGAACAGAGCAATTGTGCGAAGGCTGTACACGTGGATCTAAACTGTGGACAATAAACAAACGGCTGTGCGTGTTTGTTTGTGTGTGTCTGAGTCAGAGGCTGATTGGAGGGTGTGTATGATGCAATAAATGATGATATAAGCTTGGTTGAGTTGAGTGCTCATTTGACATGAGATGGTTTCCCTCCTGTTGTTGCAAACAGGGGGCACAAAGAGTGGGGCTCATCTGTGTCAAATACAGACCTGCTGGGACAGAGGCCCTCCCTCTGAGCCGCTTTTCCCTCTTCAAATCCTCACCCTGCTATTCTCTAATCCTGCGCCCAGGGAGAGGCTTTTTTAGGCTCCCTTCTGTTAAGAACTCTCTCAAGTTGATTTATGTTTTAATGTTCAATCGTACCACATGTGCTACAAAATTACAACACTGTCAAGTTGCCTCTTAGGTCAGCCTGAAATGTTGTTTTCCTGTCTGTATCTTTTTGTAGGTGTAATAGATTTTGATGCGAAGAATCAAAATAATATTCATACCTGTCTGTGTCCAGCGCTACCAGGGGCTTCTCATCTGGGCTCTGGTCTAAAGAGGAGTATCCTTTGTTTGGCACCACCAACCTAAAGCACAGAAAACAAGCATCCATCACTAAGTATTTCAATGCATTTAACACCAACAACAATACTTCCAAAAATTTCAAAACATGCATGAAGTGTGATGTAAAAGAGCTTCATGTTAAACAGGATATTTGTCCCAAGTACGGCGCTCCCCTTAAAGGCGACAATGACCCAAAAATTGGGGCTAATCTTTAGCCTTCAGAGTGCATGCCTTCCCAGATTATCTTCCCCCTCAGACACTTGGGGGTCCACACCAGGCCGCCGCCTGTCTCTCTTATATTTCCACTAATCCACCAGGAAGTGGGATTAGACAGATGAGCCAGTTGTCAATACTGTGTGTTGGCTGGGTTTATGCTCAGTGCTCTGACTCCTTTATCATCGTTCATACTTGAAAAAAAACGACAATTTCCCATCTCTGAATGAAAAGCTGTATTTTATGTTTTTAATTGTGAATGTAGATTGCATCCAAAATAATCATGCTTTTTGTAGCAAGACATGAAGTCCTCATGTTTTATATTTTGTGTGGTTGTAGTATTTTACATGAAACGTGGTGCAGAGGATGTGAAAACACATATTGCTTGAGATGCTCATTGGTAAAAAGAGTAACATTTGTGGTGGACTTGGTCTATATAAATGGGGGGAAAAAACAGGAAGTAGAAGCAATTACCTTGTCCTGGCATTCTTCTTGGGTTGTTGATTGACAGGACTTCCCACAGTGCCGTTCTTCACTGAACCCTTCCTGGCGAGGTCTCTCTGTTTCTCTGAGCAACCACAAGATGTGATGTCATCAGTAATGTTACATTTATATGGATATGTTTGTTAAAAATGTGACCAAATGCTTGTTTACAAATAAACAAGCATTAGGTGATCCCAGTATTTATATGTATATATGTTTGTGTTCAGATAGATATTCATTGTTGTGGTTTTTTTTGTGTTTTTTTGGGCTCTTTATGCCTTTGTTTTGGAGCTGCAGAAAGGAGCCATAGGTCAGACTGGAACCCGGGCCGCCTGCTTTGAGGAGTACAGCATCTGTACATGGGGTGCACGCACTAACCAATAGGCTACTGGTACACCAATGATTGTGTTTTAATACAATGATATATTGTAGAAGTAAACACATTCTTAAATCTTAAATCTCTTCCAAACAAGATCGGCTTCAAGTGAATAATAATTGGGTACGGTCATGATATATAGAGTAAGAAAGTCTTTGGCAAAAAGAACATATTCGAGATACAGCATGGAGTGGTTCGAGGGTGCAGTGAATTCAGGTCAGGCACAATTGTACACTTCACATATAGTTTTTGTCCATGCTATTACAGCCCTGTTATGTTTATTACGATTCAGCTGCAAATATTCAACTCAGGCACAAATGTGCACTTTAGATCATACATAGTTTTATTCTTTGTTTTTTAAAGTCTGCTATAGAGGACTTAAGCCTCTGTACATGGGGCATGCACAATAACCACTAGGTGACCGGCGCCCCAGAATGTAATGGTTGTAATACCTATTTGGACTTGCAGTGGTGAGGGCTTGTAGTTCATGGCCACAGTCTCTCCCTTGCCGTCAGGGTCGGCCTCTGAGGTGGAGGATGCTGCTGGGTCCTGGAAAAAGAAATGCAGAGTAGAGAGAGCATGTTAGTCCTAATAATACAACACTCACGATTTGGGCTGTCAGTAACCACAAGTTTCACCCTTAAACGATCCAATACAATAGGATATGATACGATTGCTGTTGTTAAAAAGTCTGCAGCAATAACACTTTGTTTTTTTTCCAAGTCAGTGGCCTGTGATTTATATTAGGCAATATCTCATACATCATTTTAAGATTTATAGTCTTTCAAGTCACAGTAAAAAAGGACAAAATTATTTTACGTCATTAGTGATCTTTTTTATACATTCAAATTAAGAGCATTTATTCTTTTTAACCTAAAGAAAAAAAAATAAAAGCATGAAACAGTTGTCTGATAAATGAGTTAGCAAGGATGACAATAAGGATCCATAATTTTCTCTTTGTATTGATGGTATTGTATAAATGACAATTGAATCGATAATGAGATCCACATTAATGATCTGTGTGAACCTACTTAAGCCTAAATAGTGATAGTCTACTTTAGTACGATATTTTCATCTCAGGCATTTGTTACAGTGGCTCCTATCTTCATGGTCTTTCATATTACTACAGTGTCACTGTTGCAGCTTTTGCTAATTTGGTACCTGAGAGGCATTAACCTTGAATAGAAGCTTTTTGCTAGCATTACAACTAAATCAATGTTTACTTTACTTCTATTGAGCACCTATAATTGAAAACGGTCTTGAGGGCACAATTTACTGAGTACAGAGAACTACCCGCTGATTCATCACTAGGTTAGCACAGCCCTGAAAATCTGCTCTTTTTTTAGGACCTGCTTGTGTTCAATACCATGGCGAGATTTCCCAAGCCTATGTGTGACTATAGCTGCCTGCTTTGCAGTATCAATGGGCTCGAGTGTTCTGCCTATGTCTCTGGCTCCGTCTCTTTTATGAGTGAGCAATGATGGCATTGGGAGGAGGCCATGGGAGAACAGAGGGGGTTGCTGTTGGAGCCTCTTGGTTTCCCTCAGTTTGAGAGAGCAGGGAGCTGGGCCGCGCTTGGCCTGCTCGACTGACAGAGCTCTACATTATGTTGATTCTACAGGCTTCCCCTTGTTGCACTCTGAGGGACTCTACAGGCCACATGGGAGAAGGCCTCCAGGGGTATTGGCTTTCAAAAATGTGGTAGTCCGTCCAGAGAAATGGCTGCTATATGCAAAGGATCAAGTACATTAGAACTTCATAGTTAAAGCTGAGACTTCATGTCCCACTGCTATAAACTGAGATAATGTGTGTGCCCTTACACAGTTTGAAAAATCTCTAATCAAAGTGTTGGTTACCTTAAAAGAACATGATTGGCTAAGTCATGTTTATTTCAAAAAAGGCTTAAATTTTTGTTTTTAAGAAACCTGAGTGTCTTTGAAGAGTGCATGATGTGATTATAAAATAAATGGGTCCCGACACAGATCGACCTGAATTTGTTTCATCCAAACCTGAAATGCTTCAACAATTAAGACCAGTACCATGAGACAGATAGAGCTGATCCAAACTCTTAAGGCCATGAAAAATTCATGAGCATTTAGCAGAGAGATACTTATTTTGCATTTCAATTTTCATGTAGTGCGTTTGAAAACAAGTTTAAGTCGAAACACAACATGTTAGCATACATGTATTTTAAATGTGCAGCCAACAACAAAAATCAATCTCTAACTGTGAGGAGGGGGGGGGGGACTCCTTCCATGCCCTGCCCAACAATAACAAGAAATGACAGGCTGAGTGGTCCAATATGGCCGAATACACCTACATAGGATACAATGTTCTCATCCTCATCTGGTGTCGAAGCATTGTTCACTTAGATGGAATAATTAATGAGAGCTGCAACAGTGAATACATTATGCACACTGGTACTGAAGGAGCAGGGAAAGCACAGCACACAGATGAGGTATCCCCATTGAAATGAGCACAAACATGAGCACGCTCTGTTCTCTGACAGGCCCCTTCCCTTGGATCATTAGGCTTACCCAACTGGTTTTTTTACTGCTTTTACTCTTGTTTTTCCCATTTCTCTTCCACCATGAAAAGATACTGTGACGATGTAGGGTCAGACAAATCCCTTTGAAATTTTTCAGCAGCGCTTGACAGTGAATTATGAAAGGGATTCAGTATTAAGCTGTCTTTGACAGAATGCACTACTTGAACATACAACAGCACAGTTGCTGGAAGCAAGAAGCAGGAACCTCAAAATAAACAAGTTGAATCTCCTTTTGAATTATTACAGCTCACTAGATATCAGTCTTAGGTTTGGTCAGAAGCTCCAAGACGTAGAAACACACAAAATAAGTCCTTATTTGGGCAATGCAATAAATCAAAATGTCATTGTTATTTTGATATGAGCAATGGTAATAAACACAAAGCAAAAGTCTGAATTGATCCTGATTTTAAAAAAAAAGTATTTTATGAAAAAAAGGAAAGCTTTCTTTTCTCACTCAGCATGTGTACATTTTACCTTCATTATGGTCAATTAAGGGATAAAAAAAAAAACCTTTTTGAACTTATTTTGGATTCAGGAGGGAAATGTAGCAATCTGAGGGGTTGTGTTAAACATATGTGCTCTTGAATAAATGTTTATTTATCACACATCAGAACATTATCCCAATATTATAACCAATGCTATTGCACAGCAGGTATGTTTCTCCCATCATGAGGGCCTAGTCCTTAAAGTTAAAGTTGGCAAACGTCAACCTGATCATAACGTTTATATTAAAAGCCCATCATTCCCTGTATAAGCTCATATGTGTGTGCTGACAGCCACTAACAAATGATTAAGAGAGGACCTTTGACATAAGGGGTGACACTTTGATTTTGAATTATCAATATAAAACACAGACATACATGACCGCTGTGGCCCTGACCTTCAATATGAATTCACAAACAGCTACATGCACTGACCCAAGGTTACACAAACACACATATAAATGAAATGACCTCTTAGTTTCATCAGCCTGTGCTTCTGTTAGGAGTTTCCTATGCTTCCTCTGATGATGAAGAGCCACAAGGTTGCTGACACAGCACAGACACTAGGCCATTGGTAGGATTATACATCATGGCCTGCTGCTGGCCAATAGCAGACTGGTACATCAGGTGACCATTTAAACAGTTGCATCCTATTATATATTATCTATCACTGTAGAAAGGATCAATAAACTGTGTCTCAATCTCAATTTGATGCCTGTAAATCTGACATACAGTAAGTAGTTTTAGCATTCAGTAACATGTCACTTGAAATTGTGAACGATGATAAAAGCCTAGTGAAACGAAACGCATCTGCTGCTGTTGCTGCCTTACCCGGATAAAAGAAACCTAAAGGCCATTTGTGTGCTGACTTTTTGTCTCTTTCCTGTCACTTAAAATGGTCCCTGTGCTTAATAACAGGCCAGGTTGTAAAAGGGATATCGTGTTTGAATCAATAATTAATTCAACTTCATACAGATGTATTAATTACAGAATAAACAAACACCTGCAATCACAATATAAAGCTTGAAACATGTAACAGATTATGGACCTTATTTTAGCAATTCAAATGTGTGGAAAAAAAAAAAAAACCTTTAAAAATCAGCTTTATTGTGAGAAATCCAATCCTTAACAATTAGGCAGGTGCCATGTGCATTCAAGCGGTTTAGGAATCACAATGGCGCTATTAGCATTCAAATGCACAGCCATGTGTGCCACAGCAACTGTGATCCTGACACAATAAAGTATGGTACTAATGCTGAATGGGGGACCATTTTAGATCCCGGGACTGCAAAAGATATGAGGTGAGATGCACAGAGTTGTATCAGTCACTCTGGCATGATAATAATATGAGGTGATGAATAAACTATACAGCTTCAAGAGTTTTATCTTGTGCCGCCACAAAGCACCTCAGTTTTTGAAATGAATTCAGCAGAATTCTCAGCGATGTAAACATGAGCGCAGAGTGATCAAATGTTCATAAGTTGAGGCAATTTATGCTGCACATCATAAGAGAGACTTCCTGTACAGGAGATTGCATGTGACTTCTGTGATTGCCGTTTTAGTTTAGCCTTGGGGAAGTGGGGCTGAGGAAGCTTGAGTACTTTAATGATCAGTAGAACTTGGGAGCTTTGCTTTTTGCCTGAATCCCGAAGGGAAACCCTAAAATAGAGGAGGGGACAGCTGTTTGAGACTGTTTTGTTTGATGTGTAGAGAAAAAGGCCTGCGAATCACAATAGTGTATGGTAATACAATAAACTCAAAATGAAATGTAGGGAATATAGAAGTGGATGCGAAAATGACTGTCCTCTGTTGGAATATATCTAATCTTATCTCATTGGCAGGTCTGAAATGATGAACCATTGAAAGAGAGGCTATCTCTTACTGTGGGCCTGCACAGGCTGACTATGCTTAGGGTTGCAGTCTACCGTATATGGACCATAGACTGGTCTCTACTCATATTAACGCAATCACGGCCGCCCCGACCCAAAAATAACACGTCACCATAGGACGAGATGTAAAAACATAGGGCTGTGTCAGCTAACGGTGTAAACAAGCGCTTACAGGCGTGTTTATAGAAAACATAAAATGTGAATTCACGTCAACTGCGTAGTCTAACTGTTGTACTACAATAACATTAAAGCGTACTCATTATATGATCACATTATCAATGCAGCCGGTCTGGGAACAAGGAGAGCGCTATGCTTTCATCTTTAGATAATCAATCTACACCCTCCCACAGCTGTACATTGGTATCATTATATTAGCTCTCACACGTAGCTCATGTGACACAGCAGCCAATATAAACCTCCAAAAACGAGAAAAACTGCAGTCGTTTGTTCTTAAAATAAATATTTGCTCGGGCTGTGTTTTTGTCTTTCCTCTCTTACCAAAGGCTGCGTCTCTCCGTTCACTGGAGGTACTTGAAACCGGTCGATTTCTTCCATCATTTTGGCGAAGTGGTACAGAAACGTTACACCAGTCTAAACCAACAATAACTTGTGACTAACTAAAAAAATCCGGGTTTATGATGCTCGGTTGTCGGTATCCGTCGTTGTTCAGCATGATAGCAGCTCGTTTTCCTCCATCCTGACAGAGGTGACTCGACAGCAAAACAGCAGTACCGCCTTACTTCCGGGTCTATTGAATAATGATTAGACGTCCGGCCAATCACAGAGGAGATCATGTTGAAATGCGTAGTGGAGGAAATCCATCATTTGATAGTGAATATGTAATCGGAAGTTTTTACTTGTTTAATCATTGTTGTTTTTTTAATGCAGTCATTTTTTTTATGTAAACCATAGTTCCCAGCGTCATTCCATAAGTGTTTTTTGTTTTTGTTTTTATAATAGTATACCAATTGACTTGAGCCCACAGATTAAAAAAACAACTATCCAATATATTTGAATAAAACTATAGGCTACTTTCTAATTGGTCAATTAATTCTAGACATTGTTCGGGTCTACAACATATTTCTCATGTTCTCAAGTTCTGATACAGTTAAAATCCAGATACATTTAATCAGTGACTCAGACCTGTTAGCCCATTGACTGTGCTCCGTGTGATTGTTACCTTGACTTTTTTGGACCTTTATTTATGACGAGCGAGACAGCTGGTTGTCTTGGCAGCCCATATACAGCAGCAGGGAGCTACTGAAGAGCTCCTTAATTTCTCAAATTTAAAGGGTAACTAAATCCCATATTTTCAGTTGAACTGCTCTACCCTGGAATTTCAATAGTTGAAAAAAGTGGTTTTAGGGTTTAGTTACTCTTTAAGAAAGCTGTCTTGAGGGAATTGGCACAGACTTTTCCACTGTTACCCAATTCCCTATTCCAACTTGAAGTGTTCATTATCATATTTTACTCAGTGTTTGCATCACTACCTCTTAAATTAGACTGAAATGTCAAACTGTGATGTAATGTGCTTTTCTTTATTACTGATATCTTTAGGAGCTGAAGGAGGAACTCACAAGGACATTGACTGCAAACAACCCACATGCTCCCCAAAATATTGCCCGCTACAGCTTCAAGGTAAGAACATTTTATACAGGCTGATTACTTCACCTCACACTGTTTCATGAAAAGTTTCTAAACTAGTCCTAATGCTTTATTGTTCCAAAGGTTTGTTTCATACCATTAACTACTTGATTATCTTAGTTGTAATTTTTTCCTGACAATCATATACCAAAACTCACAGGGATCTCTGCTGTAACTCCTCAAATAAGTCTCCTTGTTTTCCCTAGGAACGTTTGTACAAGCCTATTGTTGTGGATCAGATGGCTGTTCACTTTGAGATGGAGGGCAACCTCGTTTATCAAGACTCGGATGAAGCTCGAAGACTTGAGGGCCTCCCTGAGGGTAGTTACTTAAACATTTTCAAAGGTCACATTAACACTGCATTTAAAGTTAACATGGTATTCCCTACAGTAAAAACTGCACACAATAGTTTGTTGTCAAAGCAGGCAATGTTTTCTTCTCTGCTGTAGTACATACATGGTGCCACAAGGTGTCACTTTCAGCATATGCTCTGAAAAACCAGCTGTGTCCGGAAATGTCATGAAAAACAATCTGCTCATCAGTCAATTAATGATTTCATATTTGTTATTTTCCAGAGACTGTGAAAGCCAGCACTAAGGCACATCCTGATGAGGAGAAACCACATACCCCGGTAAATATATGTTTTCTTTATTTAAATCAGAATGCTGGTTATGTTGAACGATATATATTCAATTCTTACAGATGCAAGCAGGGTCCTGTTAATTCACATTTTCTTACAAGAAAGTGACTTGAGCTAAAGCAATTCCCCATGTTTGTTTTCCACAGGTTACACCTGTAGAAGATGGAGGGGAAGCAGAGAAAGCCGGAGACAAGAAGGAGCCAAAAGACTGGTTCAACTTCACATAAAGGGCTTCCCAGACCCTCAATAACCCACTGAGGATAAGAATGAGGAGAATACATAGTCTCCTGCCAAAGACGCATCTTGTCTCATACCACATCAAACAACTTTAACAGAAAAGCTGAAATGTCTGAAGTTTAAATATTGATGGTTAGATGATAAGGTACATATAATGATGTGTGTATATTCAAAGCCATATGCCCTTTAGTTTTTGACATCAATTTAACTTTCCTTCAGGAAATAAGCTGCCAGACTGAACCTCCTCCATGCTGCACCTTCTATGCTGACGCTAATCAGGTATAAGCTTTCTCTGATTTTTTCCGAACACAGTTGAGTATCACTGAATACATGCACTCACAAGGACCAACTGTAATATTTCTACTCCCTTTGCAGTGGGAGAGCTATGATGCATATGTGGAGGAGCTGCAGAAACAAGAAAAAAATAAAGAGAAGCAGAAAACCATCCAGTTAAAGGAAGATGGTGACAAAAGCAAGGAAAAGATGATGCTGACAGAAACTCAGGTAAATTGAGTACTCACTAACTTCTCTGTGTCATCTTTGGCAACTTTGGATTAGACAAAAAGAAGTGAAGAAGTGAAAATAGCAAGACACAGTTCTAAATGTAAATCTCATTTTGGGAGAAAAAATGCTTTTATTTCCTCCCTCATTTCCTTTTTTGTTCTTTCAGATTTCAAATACTTTGAAGATCCATCTGATGAGTTTAAGGGCCAACAGGGGACTATTCTCCCTCTGTGGGAATTCCACTATGACGAAACCAAAAAACTGTCTGTCACTGCCCTCTGCTGGTAAGGTTGTTTAACATCTCAGCCAACATTCCCATGGATTAGAATAAAGTTCATTGTTATTCTGAGAGAAGAAACAGACTGCCACACTATCTTTTGTTTTAATGGTAAAGAGATTGACTTTGTACTTTACCTATCATTAGTTGTATTTCAAAGCTGTGCTGATTGATGCATCTCTCCTCAATAGGAATAAAAAATATCCAGATCTTTTTTCCGTGGGACTGGGATCATGTAAGTACATTAATAAAACGGATTCATCAGTAATCTCTTTTGGTGAAATATCTGAGTTTTCCTTTGACCTTATTAAATCTGATGTTTGATTGTTAATATATGGGGAGCAAACTCTGTATTTGACCTTTTTGCCTTTTTTGCAATCTCCTCTCCCGACCAGACAACTTCACCAAACAGGGGCGTGGCATGCTTGTCTTCTATTCATTGAAGAACTCTACCTTCCCAGAGTACATCTACCCCACCAGTTCCAGCGTCCTGTGTCTAGACATCCATGAGCAGCGTTCTTACCTGGTGGCAGTAGGCTTCTATGACAGCTGTGTGGCTGTCTATAACCTGAAAAGGGAGGGACAAGAGCCAGTGTATAAGAGCACAGCTAAGACTGGCAAGATCACAGACCCTGTCAGGCAGGTGAGCGTAAAGGACAAGGTAGAGGTGGTGAGCGTTCAGGGTGTGTGTCTAGTTTCATTTACTCTCTCAATGAACTTTTACTTTGTCTTGTTTTGTGAGTTTATATGAAAGTTTTGCTACTTTGAAAGCTATCACAAATCAGGTCATAAGAATTGGAAGTAGACTAATGAACATCAACTATGCTAAGCTTCGATAACTCCCTAACCTTAAAGAGAATTATGTGCTGGAATTAAAAGAAACGTGTCCCATAATTGTGTCTAGTTCAAAAATTATTGTGTCTTTTTCCAAAATTGTATTTTCTCACCTTTTTCCCCTGGTAGATTTATTCATTTGTATCTTTGTTCAGGTGTGCTGGCACAATGATGACATGGACAATAACCAGAATTTATATTCTGTGTCATGTGATGGCAGAGTTGTGTCCTGGACACTCATCAAGGTAATCAAAGTCTCAAAATAAGCAAACGCCCCTTAGTGCAGGATGAGTCATGAGAAATTTGAAAGGTTTTGCAGGGAGAGAAAATACAGTCATGTTGATGTTGAAATACACAGATATGGCCGTATTGACTTTAGGCAGATAAATAAACATTTAACACAGGAATGCTGGATTAAAACTGGGGAAATGTATGTTTCAATTCATAAGGACTTTAACTCAAACGTGCATCTCATGTAATGCACCTTTCAAGATGGACTTTAGACACATTTGTTCGCAATGTACTAGTTTGTATGTCTATTTATATTTGCAATTGTTTGTATGGTTGTTGACGTTTGCCTGTGTTTACATTTATAAATTGAATGTGTATATACTATATCAGTGACTTTACAAAGTGTGTTTGAATGAACTTCATTAAGATCTGATTTCAGTTCATATTTGCCTCAGTGTGTAACATTATATGTATAATTTATGTGCTTGATGCCTCTTGTCCTCTTGTAGCCTTCTCTTCTCTTCTAGCCTGTGGAACATCTATGGATTTCCATAAACAGATTGACTATCTCTTCCTTGTTGGCACAGAAGAGGGGAAAATACACAAGGTATGTTAAAGGGTTCTAATACGCAGAAGGTAATTTCTACACTTTCATCAGGCATGTTGTTCCTGTGACTTAGGCATTTCTATTTCAGTGGGAAAGCAGAACACATCAAAGTGTTACTATTTAACAATAATATGATATAGAAGACAAATCAATGATACACAATTCATTCTAGCACAATCATCTATATAGTAATGCTTTACAATTCTGTATGTGTTTTTAACTTTTTAAAACACAGTCCTTAAAAATGGCAGAAATCTTTTTGAAAAAATTAAATTGTAAGTATCTGAATGATTGAGTGTATTATAATCCTCTTTTTTTAAGTCTGGGTTGACAATGGTGTAAAAATCAATTCAAATAAGGGCCAGTGCCAACATTAGAGTATTGCAGCGTTCAAGGCTGAGAATGACTTTATCCCTACATGATCATTCTTTCCATACTTAACCGAAGCAACATTAGGATCATCGTTTAGCCTAACATTGTCTCCCCCAATATCTATCCTGTAAAAAGCATTCAGATATCCTGCTGAGCTTAATAGTGTGTGTTCAAGAAAGGGCACATGCGCTTTTGCCTGTCCATGTGGCCTGCTTGGAGCACCTCAGGCTGACATTAAGGGTTTAATAGGTCTCCTTAAGCAGAGGCTTTCTCTGTCCACATCAGAATCAGACAGCTGGTCCTTGTTCCCCTCTTCTCCATGCTTTTTCTTAAATGCTCTTGTTTCCAAAGGCAGAAAGACACAAATAAATCCTTATTTGTTTGCTGTGCCCCA